CATGTCTCCCATCCCCATCCTACACATAGCCACATGTCTCCCATCCCCATCCTACACATAGTCACATGTCTCCCATCTCCATCCTACACATAGTCACATGTCTCCCATCACCATCCTACACATAGTCACATGTCTCCCATCCCCAACCTACACATAGCCACATGTCTCCCATCCCCATCCTACACATAGCCACATGTCTCCCATCCCCATCCTACACATAGTCACATGTCTCCCATCCCCTTCCTACACATAGTCACATGTCTCCGATCCCCATCCTACACATAGTCACATGTCTCCCATCCCCATCCTACACATAGCCACATGTCTCCCATCCCCATCCTACACATAGTCACATGTCTCCCATTCCCTTCCTACACATAGTCACATGTCTCCGATCCCCATCCTACACATAGTCACATGTCTCCCATTCCCATCCGACACATAGTCACATGTCTCCCATCACCATCCGACACATAGTCACATGTCTCCCAATTCCCATCCGACACATAGTCACATGTCTCCCATCACCATCCGACACATAGCCACATGTCTCCCATCCCCATCCTACACATAGCCACATGTCTCCCATCCCCATCCTACACATAGTCACATGTCTCCGATCCCCATCCTACACATAGCCACATGTCTCCGATCCCCATCCTACACATAGCCACATGTCTCTCATCCCCATCCTACACATAGTCACATGTCTCCCATTACGAACCTACACATAGTCACATGTCTCCGATCCCCAACCTACACATAGCCACATGTCTCCGATCCCCATCCTACACATAGCCACATGTCTCTCATCCCCATCCTACACATAGTCACATGTCTCCCATTACCAACCTACACATAGTCACATGTCTCCGATCCCCAACCTACACATAGCCACATGTCTCCGATCCCCACCCTACACATAGCCACATGTCTCTCATCCCCATCCTACACATAGTCACATGTCTCCCATCCCCATCCTACACATAGTCACATGTCTCCCATTACCAACCTACACATAGTCACATGTCTCCGATCCCCAACCTACACATAGTCACATCTCTCCCATCCCCATCCTACACATAGTCACATGTCTCCCATCCCCATCCTACACATAGTCACATGTCTCCCATCTCCATCCTACACATAGTCACATGTCTCCCATTACCAACCTACACATAGTCACATGTCTCCGATCCCCAACCTACACATAGTCACATGTCTCCGATCCCCAACCTACACATAGTCACATGTCTCCCATCCCCATCCTACACATAGTCACATGTCTCCCATCCCCATCCTACACATAGTCACATGTCTCCCATCCCCATCCTACACATAGCCACATGTCTCCCATTCCCATCCTACAAAGTCCCCATTCTACACAATCCTCGGTAAGGCGTATACGATAAGGCTACAAGTTGTTGTATACAAGTCTCGGTAGGGTGTATACCATCAGGGCTACATGTTGTTGTAGACAATTCTGGGTTGTGTGTATACCATCAGAGCTACATGGTTTTGTAGACAATTCTGGGTTGTGTGTATACCATCACGGCTACATGGTTTTGTAGACAAGTCTGGGTTGTGTGTATGCCATCAGAGCTACATGGTTTTGTAGACAATTCTGGGTTGTGTGTATACCATCAGGGCTACATGTTGTTGTAGACAAGTCTGTGTTGTGTGTATACCATCAGGGCTACATGTTGTTGTAGACAAGTCTGTGTTGTGTGTATACCATCAGGGCTACATGTTGTTGTAGACAAGTCTGTGTTGTGTGTATACCATCACGGCTACATGTTGTTGTAGACAATTCTGGGTTGTGTGTATACCATCAGAGCTACATGGTTTTGTAGACAATTCTGGGTTGTGTGTATACCATCACGGCTACATGGTTTTGTAGACAAGTCTGGGTTGTGTGTATGCCATCAGAGCTACATGGTTTTGTAGACAAGTCTGTGTTGTGTGTATACCATCAGGGCTACATGGTTTTGTAGACAATTCTGGGTTGTGTGTATACCATCAGGGCTACATGTTGTTGTAGACAAGTCTGTGTTGTGTGTATACCATCACGGCTACATGTTGTTGTAGACAAGTCTGTGTTGTGTGTATACCATCAGGGCTACATGTTGTTGTAGACAATTCTGGGTTGTGTGTATACCATCAGGGCTACATGTTGTTGTAGACAAGTCTGTGTTGTGTGTATACCATCAGGGCTACATGTTGTTGTAGACAAGTCTGTGTTGTGTGTATACCATCAGGGCTACATGTTGTTGTAGACAAGTCTGTGTTGTGTGTATACCATCACGGCTATCTGTTGTTGTAGACAAGTCTGTGTTGTGTGTATACCAACACGGCTACATGTTGTTGTAGACAAGTCTGTGTTGTGTGTATACCATCAGGGCTACATGTTGTTGTAGACAAGTCTAGATAGGATGTATACCATCAGGGCTACATGTTGTTGTATACACGTCTAGGTAGGGTGTATACCATCAGGGCTACATGTTGTATAAAAGTCTTAGTCGGGTGTAAACCATCAGGGCGACATGTTGTTGTATACACGTCTAGGTAGGGTGTATACCATCAGGGCTACATGTTGTATAAAAGTCTTAGTCGGTTGTAAACCATCAGGGCTACCTGTTGTATACACATCTCGGTTGTGTGTATACCATGAGGGCTACATGTTGTATAAAAATCTTAGTCGGGTGTATACCATGAGGGCTACATGTTGTATGCAAGTCTACGTAGGATGTATACCATCAGGGCTACATGTTGTTGTATACAAGTCTAGGTAGGGTGTATACCATCAGAGCTACATGTTGTTGTATACAAGTCTAGGTAGGGTGTATACAATCAGGGCTACATGTTGTAGAAAAGTCTTAGTCGGGTGTAAACCATCAGGGCGACATGTTGTTGTATACACGTCTAGGTAGGGTGTATACCATCAGGGCTACATGTTGTATAAAAGTCTTTGTCGGGTGTAAACCATCAGGGCGACATGTTGTTGTATACACGTCTAGGTAGGGTGTATACCATCAGGGCTACATGTTGTTGTATACACGTCTAGGTAGGGTGTATACCATCAGGGCTACATGTTGTTGTATACACGTCTATGTAGGGTGTATACCATCAGGGCTACATGTTGTTGTATACACGTCTAGGTAGGGTGTATACCATCAGGGCGACATGTTGTTGTATACAAGTCTAGGTAGGGTGTATACCATCAGAGCTACATGTTGTTGTATACAAGTCTAGGTAGGGTGTATACCATCAGGGCTACATGTTGTATACAAGTCTTAGTCGGGTGTAAACCATCAGGGCGACATGTTGTTGTATACACGTCTAGGTAGGGTGTATACCTTCAGGGCTACATGTTGTATAAAAGTCTGAGTCGGGTGTATACCATCAGGGCGACATGTTGTTTTATACACGTCTCGGTTGTGTGTATACCATCAGGGCTACATGTTGTATAAAAGTCTTAGTCGGGTGTAAACCATCAGGGCGACATGTTGTTGTATACACGTCTAGGTAGGGTGTATACCTTCAGGGCTACATGTTGTATAAAAGGCTTAGTCGGGTGTATACCATCAGGGCGACATGTTGTTTTATACACGTCTCGGTTGTGTGTATACCATCAGGGCTACATGTTGTATAAAAGTCTTAGTCGGGTGTAAACCATCAGGGCGACATGTTGTTGTATACACGTCTAGGTAGGGTGTATACCTTCAGGGCTACATGTTGTATAAAAGTCTTAGTCGGGTGTATACCATCAGGTCGACATGTTGTTTTATACACGTCTCGGTTGTGTGTATACCATCAGGGCTACATGTTGTATAAAAGTCTTAGTCGGGTGTACACCATCAGGGCGACATGTTGTTGTATACACGTCTAGGTAGGGTGTATACCTTCAGGGCTACATGTTGTATAAAAGTCTTAGTCGGGTGTATACCATCAGGTCGACATGTTGTTTTATACACGTCTCGGTTGTGTGTATACCATCAGGGCTACATGTTGTATAAAAGTCTTAGTCGGGTGTAAACCATCAGGGCGACATGTTGTTGTATACACGTCTAGGTAGGGTGTATACCTTCAGGGCTACATGTTGTATAAAAGTCTTAGTCGGGTGTATACCATCAGGGCGACATGTTGTTTTATACACGTCTCGGTTGTGTGTATACCATCAGGGCTACATTTTGTATAAAAGTCTTAGTCGGGTGTATACCATGACGGCTACATGTTGCATGCAAGTCTACGTAGGATGTATATCATAATGGCTACATGTTGTTGTATACAAGTCTAGGTAGGGTGTATACCATCAGGGCTACATGTTGTTGTATACAAGTCTAGGTAGGCTGTATTCTATCAAGGCTACATGTGGTCATGTGGTCTAGGTCATCAAGGTAACATGTAGTTGTGTTTGTCGACTCGGGTTGTGGAATGCATGTTCTTAGGCATTGAGACAATTCATATAAAACAAAATCGAACACATTATCGATCATAATACACTTTATGCCTATGGTGAGGGCAATTTCTGATCAACATAGCCCTGGTGAAGAACAAAAGTACAGTGAGATGTAAAATTTATGACAAACATGGCTTTTGTTAATATTGAAGAATCACCGTGTGGACAAGGAATATTTATAGAGAATGAGAAGATATACACAAATTGAGGAAAATATACTGGTTATAGTTATGCGCTGGGGCTTAATGTAAGACACGATGTTGGTTTCCAGTTTATAGAAATGTGTCTCAAGGTGTATGGCTGTATCAAGAGCATGGCGTGTTTCACGAGAAGTCCGTGCTCGGCAAGTCCATCTACAGATTCTATTGTTTCAAGTCTTGTGATTTGACAATGTGCAAAGGGTAGCCCATGTATTCACTCTCAGTTGATTGTTACTGAATACCCAGTAAGGCCGCGGCCATGGGCTTGTTGGCTTAATTGGTGTAAATGGGTCAGTGTACAACACGGATACTTCCCAGGATGCATCACGGTTGCCGTTTATCGCATCGTTCTAACTTTCTGCGTACTTTTGTACTGCCTTCAGCCCATGCGTCTCCATCTCGACAGGCCACTCCACAAGCAACTCCTCAGGGACACTACTCCGGCATCCTCCAGGGCAACATCATCGTCGTCAACGCCTTTTGCCATCCCAATGGTGACCATGCTCTTCGTCACGCCATCCGAGAGTAGGCAGGCAGCTGGGGCACGGCATAGATGTAAGTAAACACATTAACTTCATAGAGTTCATCCCCTTCAACCAACGTCTCGACACCCGTTCTACTTGACATGCTTACTGCGTATGTCATCGATGCAATCGTTCATGCCTGAAGTTAATAGTATTTTACGCTTGTGAGTTGGTAGGGTTTTACGCTGATTCCAGCAATAAAACGGTGGGGAAGGATCTAACCAAAGTCGTTTTGCGTGTTACGCTACCCCAGCGTTCCAAAGTCTTTGATTTAGTTATCTTGTACCATCAATGGTATGGTGTATGCCATCAGCGCTACTGGGCAATATTTTGTTACACTGTCACCATGTGTTGTCCTATATATTGATTTGGTATAACTCTTTGTTTGTGTTGTAACAATATATACAAAACCATGTCCTACCCAGTTCTTGTTTAATTTGCTTGTAAAATGTACCAACATATACACCAAAACGTTGCATTGAAAGTGAAATGGTGGTTTGATGTACCGTCATGTACTGGCCATGAACACAACTGTGATACCTGTATCAAAAACATCACCATGGAATAGACCGTCCCTTGATTGTTTCATTGTTAGCCACCATCACGCATGGTTGTCTACTTTCCTTTCCCCGGCAGTATGTGTAAGTTCATTATTTTGGCAATATTTGACATTTGTTTATGTTCGACAGGTTTCTGAATCCGCGGAATTGTTGAAACTCCGAGAGGAAAACCGGAAATTACCATTGGAAATCAGGGCACTAAAATACGAGAACAGGCGCCTGAAAGGAAGTGTAAGTCAAACACAATGAATATGTTTAGGTTTAACGTCGCCTTCATCAGTCTTTTATTTTTGTGATTGCGTGGCACCACGATGTTGGAGGTAGGCCCAAAGTGTCACAGGCCGTGGAGACGTATCCTATCTGCACCAGGATGTAACGGGGTCTTAAGCCGCAAGACTATTACTGTAACTATCAGATGTTCAAATGTATCCGTTCTCGGAACTTCAACACAGGACATTAATGAGACAACTTGGTTGAATAGACCTATATTTAAAACGACTGATTTGTATATGCATAAAAAATCCAACATAATACTGCTCAAAAGAAGTAAAAGAACACCCGACTCATGTCCACAGATAATCTGTCATGCCATGACTTTGGTGGTCTTGAACTTCTTTTGAGTAGTATATGAAGACGGGAGATGATCGTTGGCGAAAGTCGAAAGTGAGGGGGTGAGATTGTCATTTGTTTTATATTCAGTCCCTAACAATCTTTGCGTTGTGTAGTCTTCTGGATCTATAGGTGTTGATATGTGTGGGAAAGGGGATATCCTAATTTATAATATGATAAAGATCAATCTCCATGACAATAAAACATGTCCCATGGGTTCATAACAGCTAGGATTGCCGTCAATCTGATCCCTTGTGCGTACATATATAACGTCATATAACACTCATTCCCTTTGTTTAGGACCCGTGAAGATCCGGGGTAGAAAAGTTCTTCAGCAACCCATGCTTGCTGTAAAAGGCGACTATGCTTGTCGTAAAAGGCGACTAACGGGATCGGGTGGTCAGGCTCGCTGACTTGGTTGATGCATGTCATCGATCCCAATTGCGTGGATCGATGCTCATGATATTAATCACTGGATTGTCTGGTCTAGACCCGATTATTTACAGACCGCCGTCATAAAGCTGAAATATTGCTGAGTGCGGCGTTAAACAACCAACCAACCTACCAACCCTTTGTTTAGGTTGCCAACAGTCTACCGCTGATGACATCGACGTCGGCATCGCCATCCCCCTGAGCATCGTCTTCCGCATCCGCATCCGCATCGGCATCAGCATCCGCATCCACAATCGAATCTGCATCAACGTCGGCAACAGCATCAACAACGGTTACAATGGCGACCCAGACCATGTCATCTGTAAGTATGCTATTCAACTACTTAAACATAACTGGCAGTCATTAAAGGCTCACTCATGTGGAAACTAAATCTCGCCATGTACCTGAATTGTTTGGTTTTAGCTCAAGTAAATGTTTTAACGCTTCTTGACATAACATGATACTTTTTCTAAAATATTTCACCTTGTGGGTATTCTGCTACCTCATGCTAGCTGCTTGTTTGTCACTGGTCCGGATGACAGGCAGCCGTGATACAGCTGGAATATTGCTGTTTGCGACGTTAAACAGCATTTACCCACTCACACAAGAACATTTATGATAATAAATAGAATATATATGATATATGAATATATATAATAAATAAAATAAGAAAGTTGCATTTTCATTTTAAAATAGATCAAAGATTGTCATTGCCAGAGAAAGTTGAATAAAATATAATTTGAAGGTCATGATCACTTCTTTTAAAATACTTTGGAAAAGGCATCTGAGAGTTTCACTTGAAAATTAAAGTAGTTTTTTTATTGCATAACTTGCCACACACTATCCCTTATCACAGCTATTAAGTAATCTTATGTCATTAGCAGCTATATATATTAGTACAACATACACTTATACGAAGTCATGAAATGTACGTAAGTAGTAAAAGAAATGTTGTTCATATATATTTTCAATGGCTTTTCTCACTCAGAACTATATAGCTGACGTGGCCAGTCATAAAACAGAACGGAGAAACCAAAGCCAGATCTGGCGGAAAAGGCAACGGCAACAACAGCGATATCGCCAAGAACAACAACAGCGTCAAAAGAGGCATCATCAACAACGAGATTAACAGTCATACGAGGATTGCTACGTCTTCTGGACGAAGCACAGAGGACTTCCGTGAGTTTTATATATTCTATCCTTTTTTGAAACAAATAATATACCGAATTTGATTGACACCCAGATGGCGCTGGGAGGAGGAGTGGAGATCGAGTAAGTGGATAGTCATGTGAATATGTTATCTGTGATCCAGTTCTCCCATTTAGAAAGGGAGGTACTCCATCACATCACCAACTCCCCCCACCCAACATACTGCTGGAACAAATCTTTAAAGTTAATTGTTCTCGGTTCAGTTTGCCTTAAATGTCAACTACAGCTACCAGTTATATATTCCTCTAGGAGATTCTAGGGAAGGAAAAGCACTTCTTATACATCATGCTTTGATAATAAATGCATGTTGATTCTAACAATTGAATGCTTTGAATAGCTTGTTAGCAGGACACATGTTAATCTGCAGTCGTTTTACGTAGAATTGTCTAAGTATTAAATAGACAGATGCTATTTTCTTCTAAAATAAGTCTTAATAAATAATTGCAACAGTTGCTAATGTTATGAATGTTAACGAAGCACTTTTCTGTTCACTCCAGGTGTCGTCACAAAGTATCAAGATGATTTCATCAGACAGAGGCGTTAGACAGTTGACAGTCACGCCCAGTCCTGTCCCAGCTCTCAACTTCAGGAATAATCCTCAGTCGCAGATCTCAGTCGCCCTACTCTGTTGCCAGACAACCTCGGTCGCCCTACTCTGTTGCCAGACAACCTCGGTCGCCCTACTCTGTTGCCAGACAGCCTCAGTCGTCCTACTCTGTTGCCAGACAACCTCGGTCGCCCTACTCTGTTGCAAGTCAGCCTCAGTCGTTCTACCCTGTTGCCAGACAGCGAACCAGCCTCAGCAACCACGTCAACTAGGCGTTGCTCCTCTACATACAGTAAGTAGAACTTAATTTAATTTTAGTTCAAGATGTAAATAACTTTATTTCTATGTATATCATTGTTGAACAAGTGTCGATAGTATCCGTTCGTCCATTATCGAAAGTATTTGGCAACTCAAATGCAATAATCTACGTTTTAAAAAGCCACTGAATTATTCTGTTCAACAAAAAAACCTTTCTTCTTCTTCAGGTTTGGTACAGTCCAGTTACCTTCACCTGCCAGTTACATCGCTTCATGTGCAGGAATTAGGCTTCATTTCTAAACCCATGGTCCGACTAAGGGCAGCTTAAGAAGTTATTTTTCTGTTGGAATGTTTGAACCAAGTGGACATGTACATGTTTATTGCTTCCTTTAATGTACAATATAACGAAGGTATCTCAGCACCCTATTTTGGCCCTTTGAACATATCTGCATGTTTAATTCAGTTTCACCTCAACATGTTGGTGCCATAGTTAACAAACGTAAACGTTCTACCCACACAGCAATTCCCCTTGAATCAATGGTATGTCACGATTGCTCACTGGGGCAAGGTACATAGTGCTTATTTCGTATGCCACTATTGCTCACTGACGAGATACGTCCCCCATTAGCTTTACATATAGTCATGCCTTTCTGGACGATCGGGGGGCACAGCTGGCCCAATCGTCTAAGGCGCCGCGATTCGCTGTGCAGAGTTGCGTCCCTTGGACACGCCAGGAACCTATGATTGTGGGTTCGAATCCCGGTTCGCCCCGATTATGTTTCTAGGTTTGTCAGCACCATACCCCTGCTCGTCGGTTTCACCGAAGTGGTAAAACGTCTGAGACCTGCATCACTTCGGGTTTTCCTCCCACATTAAGCTGACACGCCGCGATATAACTGGAATACTGTTAAAAGCGGTGTTAAACCCAACTCACTCACTGGACGATCGTCAACTTACACCACCTGGATGGTCATGTGTAATTCCTGATGACTCGGCTGCTTTAAGGTGTTGAGGGGTGTTTTATGTTTCATGGCTCATTCTCCTACTTGAAACACCCGCTAACATCTTCTAGTTGAACGATGACTCAGTTGTATTCACAAGCATCTTCTCGGGTAGTTGTATTTAGTTAGCGTCTTTAGTCAGTGACGTGACCGCCTCCGTGGTCTATTCGTAGAGCGTCCGCCCGGAGTGCGGAAGGTCCGTGGTTCGATCACCGGCCGCGTCATACCAAAAGACGTTAAAAAATGGTACTTGTTACCCAGTCTGGCGCTCGGCATTAACGGGCTAAAACAAGGACTGGTCGGCTCGGAGTCAGTATACTGTGTCTGAGTGGGGTATTCATGTTAAACTGCGGCATGGTATCTCAGTGAGCTAGTACAAGCAGCCACACAAACACACACACGTACATGCACGTCGCTATATAAGTGCAATAATCTTGGACACGACGTTAAACCCCATTTCACCTCACCTAGTCAGTGACGTTTATAAAGGATTATAAAGCAGAAAGGTTGTTCGTACTTTAAAATGAGCAGCTCATCACACGAATATTTCTTGTACAATATTAATTTACCCTTGGCTACGGAATCTATTTCAATTAGTATTCTTGACACTAGACGTTAAAGACGGAGCATATTCCTGATCATGATCGATGCCATTGGCATTATGAGGGGTAGCGTCGTTTGCCCGTCTGTGAATGACGTCATGATGTGCTATAAGAGCCATACTACCCCAGTGGACCTACTGCTGGATACATTGTATGTCTGAACTGGAGGACGGTCCTCGCCTGATGCCACCGCCCCTGATTACACCACATGACACGTGATCTCATGTCTACCACAAAGATGGATGTATCTTCAGCACAACAAATTCATAGGGTGAGTTTCAAACTATATACTTTATTTGATGTTTGAAAAGTATGCATCTTAATGATATCTTTAATTTATTCGTAGATACAGGGCATCCTGTCTGTATTTTCTTTTTAAGAACATTCATTTGGTCTATTCTATTCTTAATAAATGGGGGCGGTCGGGTAGCCTAGTGGTTAAAGCGTTCGCTCGTCACGCCGGAGACCCGGGTTCGATTCCCGACATGGGTACAATGTGTGAAGTCCATTTCTGGTGTCCCCCGCCGTGATATTGCTGGAATATTGCTAAAAGCGGCGTAAAACATTAGTCAGTCAGTCAGTCTTAATAAATGTTCCTGGTGTATGTGAAATAAATTCTGATCACAATTTCTACATGTACAGGTCCCATTACCTCAGCTGTAACCTACACCCGACTTCCACACGTGACTCCCACACGTGACTCCCACACCTGCTTCTGTCTCAGAGCTCTTAATACCTGCTAAGATTTATGGTGAGTATCTAAATGGTGAGTTATACAATTGATGAATAGGTATAAACATCTCCAGGATATATTAGATAATGCCTGAAAAAATCATTCATGTACGATTAAAAAACTGTTTTGCAATGAAAAAATTGATAAAAAGTACATCACAAATTAAGATTTACACATGTTAATGCTATTTCATGTTGATTTCTTATGTTCTTCTCTACGTTTATAAATTAATATCTTGCAAAGTTCCCTCCTGGGTATGTTTTTAATTAAAGTTAATTAACGTAGGTTACAATACCTATGCCAAACCTAATACATTTATGAACTCAATTTGTGATGAAAGCATGTGTCAAAATTGCCACTTTTGGTAGAATCGACCAGTCTTGTTCTTGCTGTATAGGTGCACATGGGGCGTATCTCTCTGTGATGTAACAATGTCAATTTTCTGCCACCCTGTCATGTTTGTGACAAATTCAGATAACTGACAATATATACTGAACAACAAAAGTTCCTGTGACATTGAATAAGATTAAATGCAAAGTTATGTTTTTTACCAAATCGGAAACAATTTCGGTTTGCAACAGATAAAAGACTCCTGTAAGTGTTCAAATGGTTTAATTTGCCATACTGACTTCAGAAAATGCGTGATTTCATAAAAATTGTCTTGCAACATCACGTTGCCTCGATCCTGCTTTAAGCATACCATTTCGTACAGGCGTGGCATTTCGTAATGTTGAACAATTGCGTAATTTTGTTGTTTTTCTGAGTGGTTGTTGTCAGCACGATGCTAAAAAATACATATGCGCTTATTGACTTTGCCCAGCTTACTCTATTAGGAACAACCCCCTGGATACTTCCCTATAAAAAAATAACCTCGTCCAATTTACGACGTCATCATGTTGTTGAAAATTGAAAAAAACACTATTATAATAACTTGAGATAACAGTTGGCAAAAACGTATATAGGCATAGCAGTATAGTATAACACACTAATTATTCTGCACCTTGATACTGTCTTGCTCAAATAATGTGCAAAATGTCCCCATGTATATAACAGAAACGTGACTGTACAAGTATGTTCAAACATCCATCCTCTGAATTAATATCAAGCTAACTTTGTCCAACAGGCTTGTCCTCCAAGTCTCAAGGTCAAGGTCCCACCTCCTTATGCGACCTCTCAACGACCAGATTGGACTTATCGAAAGGGACTTCCTTCCTCCGCGATGTATCGGAACTCAAGGACTGAGAGTGTAGTAGTCTGGATTCCCGCCCTTACTCCCCGTAATCTCAAGGACGTGAAGCAACCCATGCTTGCCTTAAAAGGCGGCTATGCTTGTCATAAGAGGCGACTATCGGGTGGTCAGGATCGCCGACTTGGTTGATGCAAGTCATCGCATCCCAATTGCGTGGATCTATGCTCATTATGGGAATCACTTCCATGGGTATATATCAGTCTATAAGTTACTTCACATAAGTTCAGAGAAGCAATGTTTGAAACAACTCGTCTACTTACACAAGAGACCCGTGAAGAATCGGGGTAGAATAGGTCTTCACCAGCCCATGCTTGCCGTAAAAGGCGACTATGCCTGTCGTAAGAGACGACTAACGGGATCGGGTGGTCAGGCTCGCTGACTTGGTTGATGCATGTCGCTGTATCCCAATTGCGTGGATTGATGCTCATGATATTAATCTCTGGATTGTCTGCTCCAGACTCGATTATGTACAGACCGCCGTCATATAGCTAGAAAATTGCTGAGTGCGGCGTTAAACAACAAACAAAAATCTTAATTACTAGATTTGACTCTCCATGTTGGCTGCATCAAGTCAGCATGTTGTACATATTGCATTGTATACATTCTCAAAGACTGGAGTGGACTTAGGACCATGTTGCATCACACCTGTGTTGGGTTGTGACCGTGAACGCAGCACATCTATCAGCATTATCATTGTCAGTGCTGTTGTCTAACTGTGGTATAATATCACTGACACCCATTGCGTCAGTAAGGGGCGGTCGGGTAGCTTAGTGGTTAAAGCGTTCGCTTGTCACGCCGAAGACCCGGGTTCGATTCCCGACTTGGGTACAATATGTGAAGCCCATTTCTGGTGTCCTCCGCCGTGATATTGCTGGAATATTGCTAAAAGCGGCGTAAAACCATACTCACTCACTCACTATCCTTGGTAACTCAATTCAATCTACAACCAGGTTGTGGGCCTTCTCTTTCGTCAGTTGAAATCTCACGTTGGGTGGTATTAGAGTGGACAATATTACAAAACGCCATGACCACATCATAACTGTTTTGAAAATACTCATTGGATTCTGAAACATGTACATATGACATTATTTTGGGTCTGTCAGGAGGGTGGCTATATACAGGCGTAGTTGAGCCATGCTACCCTGGATATATTCAGCCAAGTGACATTCTAAATAAGCATATTTAAAAATTAAACCAAACGTAAATATTTGAATTTCACTAATTGTTTTGTAATTCAAAGCTCAGTGTTTTGTTGCTGTGAGTTGACGTAGGGTTCCGCCATGTTAGTGGTGTTTACAATTCAGGAGAATGGATATATACAGATGTGGTTGAGCCATGCTGCTCTGGATGTATTCATTTGACAACCTTCCTAACAAGCCGAGGGGTTCTCCATAGTATCGGTACACACTGGGATACCTAGCCTTAGCCAACTTTATAGACAAGCGGTCCTTTACGGATCCGGGTCATATTCTATCGGTGTCAGTGTAAATATCAATACAAGTGATACTAATATTGATTAAAGTGATGATTGTATTTCATATCTATAGCAATTCACACATGTTTTGTGTATTCCCAGTGTACTTTACAATACTAATGGGGGGCACGGGTGGCCCGGGTGGCCCAGTCGTCGCGAATCGCTGTGCAGAGTTGCGTCCCTTAGGCACGCCAGAAACCTATGATTGTGGGTTCGAATCCCGGTTCGCCCCGATTATGTTTCTAGGTTTGTCAGCACCATACCCGTGCTCGTGGGTTTCACCGAAGTGGTAAACGTCTAAGACCAGCATCATTTCGGGCTTTCCTCCCACATTAAGCTGACACGCCGTGATATAACTGGAATACTGTTAAAAGTGGCGTTAAACCCAACTCACTCACTCCAGTACTAATGTTTAGGCTCACAAAATCGTGAGGTGGTAGTATGGCCTCGTGGTTAAAGTGTTTTCTTCTCCAAGCCTAAGACCAGGGTTCGATCCCCACATTCATGACGTCCTGCGTGATGTTCAGATGGATTTATATACTGCTAAAAGCGGCCTTACACCCTCGGATGTATATTTTCTGTACTGTGCCTCCATCTCACCTTGATGTTTGTATACTCACCCTGTTAGTACAAACCTGATTGAGAACGATGTTTAAAAAAACACGGCTGTGTCAACATGAGTATACGTTGTCTTTGTTCATACTTAAATAAAAAATTTAAATGAACAATATTGTGTTATGTTATCAACGTAACAAGGAAAATTGGGAATATTGGTGGTTTGAGGTACCGCAAATGGCTGATGTCAGGATGTGGTCGTGGGTTCGAATCCCAGATTCACCCTGGTGACGATCTATGGATTGTCGAAACCATTCTAACATGACACTTTAAGGATACAATAATCCACACTAGTCATGTCAACACGTTCCTAAGCCATATTTGCAGCAAGTAAATCATTTCATAGGCCCTTTCTCCAAATGATGTCAAAAGTTCTCAACACAGAAACAAAATATTTGTTCATTTTTTTCATTCTAAATGGTTCAATGACTGTAAAGTAAAACCAGAATACCTCAGGTACAGATTACTTTTAGTCAGTGGTTAAGACATTTGAGGTGTAAAGTCTGCTGAACTAGCTACATGTATACAACACATACTACTCCACTTAAAACATTGGGGCTTTGCTATAAATAGAGTACTCAGAAGAAATAGCGTAGTGCTGAATGTATTGTGGCCTATTGAAGCTGCAATGGACATGTTTCTTAGTTCAGCTGAGCTCTGCTTTAATCAAGGTTGCAGGTTTACGACAGCATATTTGCTTAATTTGATAAATGACACGATTACAAGGCAAACCCTCATAGTGAAATCCTCATAGGCACCGATTGTGCTACCCTCCTGGCTGATCTGTTTCTTTATGCACACGGGGGCACGGGTGGCCCAGTCGTCTAAGGCGCCGCGATTCGCTGTGCAGAGTTGCGTCCCTTGGGCACGCCAGAAACCTAGGATTGTGGGTTCGAATCCCGGTTCGCCCAGATTATGTTTCTAGGTTTGCCAGCACCATACCCGTGCTCGTGGGTTTCACCGAAGTGGTAAACGCCTGAGAAGACCTGCATCACTTTGGGCTTTCCTCCCACATTAAGCCGACACGCCGTGATATAACTGGAATAATGTTAAAAGCGGCGTTAAACCCAACTCAATCACTCACTCACTTTATGCACTCGACTCAGAATTTCTGCTCTGATAGCAAAATCAAAACCATGGAAAGGAGTTTAACTTAAGCATAGGTATATCGAAGGTATATGAATTACCCACCTGAGCTAGAAATAAAAGATACAGTAAACTACGGTTATAACGAACTCAAAGGGACTACTAATTTTAGTTCGTTATAACCGTAATTCGTTGTAAGCATATATACAGCATAACTACAGCATACAGTCGGGACTAAAAAGTTGGTTCGTTATATCCGTTAGTTCGTTATAAGCGTATAACCCGTAGTTTACTGTACCATTGAAATCGCCTCATCTGGTTCATTTATAGATCAATGCATTAATAAGCAGAGTGACAATACAATATCCACAAGGCTGAATGGCAAGAATTATTCCTTCATGTCGAGCAACATTGCAGCGCTTCCAGCCTTCATACTCTTGCTCAAAAGCTGCTTGATCAGGGTTACAGTATCTAAGGGATCAGTAAAACTTTCAAACGTTTTATTGTGGACATCTATGGGACATTTTCAAATTTTCGGCAAAAGTGACAAATTGTTGCGGGTACAATTCCATTATTTGAGTTGTACCATATGTTCCCGTATTTTATGTTCAGGTAAACACACGACTTGCCTTTGCATGTGTTTGTTGCGGTTGCCACTTGAAGGGCAACGCTTGATATCATCACTAATTGACAACAGATGTTGACCCGTGAAGATCAGGGGTAGAATAGGTCTTCAGCAACCCATGCTTGCCGTAAAAGGCGACTATTGGGATCGGGTGGTCAGGCTCGCTGACTTGGTTGATGCATGTCATCGATCCCAATTGCGTGGATCGATGCTCATGATATCAATCACTGGATTGTCTAGGCCAGATCGATTATTTACAGACCGCCGTTATATAGCTGGAATATTGCTGAGTGCGGCGTTAAACAACAAAAAAAACCCAGCAAAAACATTACAGATGTTTATGATATACAGTGAACTACGTTTAGAACGAACACGTTAAAAACGAACTGTTTTTGTGACCTGTTCATTTGCTGTGTATAGGCTTACATATGCTTATAACGAACTAAAATTGGACAACACAGGACAACATGAAGGTGGCAACCACGGTAATCCTGTACAGGAGGACCCGTGAAGATTCCGGGGTAGAATAGATCTTCAGCAACCCACGCTTGGCGTAAAAGGCGATTATGTTTGTCGTAAAAGGCGACTAACGGGATCGGGTGGTCAGGCTCGCTGACTTGGTTGATGCATGTCATCGATCCAAATTGCGTGGATCGATGCTCATGGTATTAATCACTGGATTGTCTGGTCCAGACTCGATTATTTACAGACCGCCGTCATATAGCTGGAATATTGCTGAGTGCGTCGTTAAACAACAAACCAATCAATCAACAGTACAGGAGCATAATACAACGGTTAGTAAACTGGGGCATAATCGGCCATTCAGTACCTAACATTTTATTACTACTGGATTTAACGTAAAGTGTTGTGGAATAACCAGCTACGATGTATTCGAACTGCTATAATTGTCATCCAGTGAAAGAGTTCCTGACCAGCCGGGTTCAAGTCCCGCCACTGGTATAAGTATCTGTGTCTGTACAGTCGCATTTACACCTAGTCTTCTTTTAGTCACCCGCAAACGTTACGGTATTGCGTGACAACGATAATTACGATGAACATCGATACAATTTGGCTTGGAGGTGATACTATTTTTGTTTTGATTTTACGAGTGCTTCTGAAGGTTCTGCTTCAGCACGCGGAATGTTTTGAGTAATAAATAACGTTTACTTTGATACTCCTACGCACTGAGATGGTCACAACATACTTACTCCTTTGTTCATTAGATACTGTATAAAGTTAAGTATACATCTCTAACACATTCTGTAGTGAGTTCAGAAACAATATGCTTCTGAAATAAAATACTTAAATGAACATGAATTGTGCACTAAAAAGTCCAATGCAACGTGAAAATTGATACATAAAGACATGATGGTATCTTACGCCTAGTCTCATTGCCTTGTCTAACGACCATAGAAAATCATCTTCTTATATCCCTTATACATGGCAAAATAGCGGCTGGTTGAATGAGATGCTGACTAAAAATATCCGGGCCCATAGTGTACAATAGCGGACTGGGTGCGCAGAATACTGACTTAAAAAATGACTA